GATTTGGGGTGTATAAGCAATGGTTTATCTGCCTGTAATATAGACCCGAGAATTCCCGACACTCACCCCACGCCCTGGCTGTCTGTGAGAACACCTTCCACGGACACGACCTTCAAGGTCGCGGGAAAAACTCCCAGCTCCCTCGCCTCCTTATTTCCCTCCAGGTGAGGCCCCGGGGAGCCGGCCCAGGCCAGAACCCGCGACGGATAAAGCACTTGGCGAAGGGGAGTCTGGGGATGACTTCTCGCTCCCCTCCCGCTGCCGCCGTCTCCTCGGCACTCCCAGAGAGGCTGTCTAAACCTCAGCCTGGGCTTTGCAGGATGGCTCATCCAGGTTCGCCGGGCCAGATCCTGACCCGGCTCTGTGCTCTGTAGCGGCATCGTCTGCCTGGCTGCGAAGCTGGCCCTCCATTCAAGGAGATCTTTACGGTCTCCTCGATACGCACCATATAACACGTTTTATAGGGCTTTTGCCTCGCGGTATCCACTGAGCTTTCCTTTCTTCGCGGTGTTTTCAGTAATTCGCATGGAGAAATGGGCACAGAGAATTACTGCGAGGTGCCAGGCGCGGCTGCGGCCCGGGGAGGCCAGCAAGGGCCGGGGCTGGCAGCCGACCTGCCCACGGGGCCAGCTCCAGGTGCTGCCTCCCTGCACCCGGGTCCTGCGGGGCCCGGCGGCAACGGCGCTTTGATGATTTAGCCCATTAAAAAATGAAGCGGCTTTTTGTATTTCGTGTCCAGGGTTAATAAAAGTTAATCAGGAGTCGAAAGCCAACTAACCCAGTGAGTTAACCTCGCTAGCTGCAGGTAGTCCTGTTAGCCAGGCTCTCTTGGTTAATTAATTATAATTGAGTCGGTTTTGTGATAATTTCCCTAAGGACCCCTGAGGACGGGTGCACGGGAGCGCAAAAGGCATCGGACTCCACAGCCCGCCGCGGAGAGTGCCCGGCCCCGGAGTCCCGCATTCCGCACTCTTCTCCGCCCGATTCCGAGGCTCCCGAGGCTTCTTGCCCGAAAGTGACGTTCAATCACCTGAGAGGAGGCACACGACAATGGCGAGCCCACTTTTGGGGATGGGTGGAGAGCGCGGGGATTCTTCGGGTGCCAGGGAGAGGCTGCCGGGAAGAGCCGAGCGAGAGGTGGACTCATGCAAGGCGGGAGCCGAAGCATCAGCCCCTGACTGCACATCAGGCTCGCACTCGTTGAGATTTGGACACGTAACGCTGCAGACCACTGATTTGCTGTTTTCTTAATTCCCGCTCTTCTCATTCCCTATGAATCAAACAGTCTTTTGTCCTTCAGAGTTTGATTTGATCGCTACTGTTCACATTTCACTTTTGTATTTTTCTCTCCCTATACCATTACTCATTGAGTGCCCCGTGAAATTACAATCGTACATTTTCAACTCAGCAACCCATTTGCAGTGCAAAAATAGGGTCTAAATAATGGCTGAATTAGCCCTACTGGACAGTTTCAGATGTAACACTCTGTAATAATTATATTGCAGGCTGGATTAGGATGCTATTATCATAATCTGGACGTTTACAATTATCTGTAATTTGCAAAGATGCGCCAGGTCTTGATTACAGCAGGTTTTTTTTTATCAAGCTAACCATCACTAAACAGTGACAGTAATAACAGCTAATTTTGCTGGCAATATAAGAGGTGCTGGGGTGTGCAAACAATTTCACACCTGGATGTGCTCACTCAACCAAGAATATAGAGAAAGAGCTTCTGCCCTGAGACTCAGAAAAATATTCTCCACTGCTTCTGTTCAGTATAGATTTCTAGACCCCGATCCTTGCTTAGCAGATTTTCACAGGGGTAAGTTTTGGGGCTCGCTTGGGTTTGGGGTTGGTGTGTGGCTGCTCCGCGCCTTGCCCGTCGAGGCACGCTCCTTTACTTGTTCCCCCAATTTCGCGGTCACTCGCGCTCCGGTGTTTTCCCTCGGCGGCCGGACCCCGACAGGTCCGCGCCCCCTTTCCCTCCGGTGCTGCCGGGGCGGAGGGCGGCGCGGGGCGGGGATGCTGCCGGGGCCCCCCGGCTGCCGGAGGGGCGGCGCGGGACTCGGCGGCCGGCGGAGAAACCACGCGAGCCCGGGGCCAGACCCGTCCGCCCGTGCCCGCAGCGGGACGGCGGCAGCGCGCCTTTCCGCGGCTCCCCGCGGCGCCCGTCCCGCGGCCCCGGGGCGGCGGAGCCCGGCGGCGGGCGGGCGGTGGCGGAGCCGGTGCTGGCAGCCCGGCGGCAGCAGGTTTGGCGCTGGCGCGGGGATCTGCCGCTGCTCCATCCATAGATGACGCTGTTTCACGAGAGTCTCCCGGGGTGTCTGCCGCGCGAGTGGGAGCCGCTGCTGCCATTCGCTCACACCCCGTTCCCGGGAAGGCCTGCCTCTCCCACCTTCTCCCACGCTACGAAGCTAATGGGGCTTTTTTATTATTATTATTATCGTTTATTTGTTCGCTTGCTTGCTTGTTGTCTGGGCTTACTTTAAGCCTATTTGAGAAATCACGCGTGGGAAAGGAGGGCACGACTCACCGAGAGGGTATCCGCACCGGCACCCACGCGCGCGTGCAGGCGAGGACGAGCGCCCCGCAAGCCCACGAGAAGCAGCGAGCCCCCCTCTCCCCCCGCCCCCGGGGGCGGACCGCCCGCTGCCGGGCCCCGCTGGGCGGGTGCAGCGAAAGGGTTAAGGCGGCTGCAGAGGCCGTGGGGGCCGGGGCCCGTCGGGCTGGGCTCGGCTGGGCTGGGCTAGGCTCCCCGGGCTGCGGGACTGGCTCACCAGGGCATCCACCGCCCTTCTGCGGAGCGAGGGCGAGCCTGCGCAGGGGCCGGCGTGGGGGGGTGTGAAGCGGGGTTTTCTGAAAGATGCACACGATGCTGTTGGTTTAAATGTATGGTAGCTTTCTCTCCAGTGTCATTTGAATAATTCAGTGAGCCCCACTACCAGCTGTACTTCTGAAGCCTCTTCCATTCTTTTCAGCATTATAATTTTGGTTAATTTTCAATTTTAGGCCCTACGTCTCTGCAATTTGTGTATGAATAACAGAATAATTTTCCTCTTTTGTTTCGCCTTTCCTGTTCCTGAATCTAAATAAAGATGGCTTTTTAGTATTAAAAGTGGAAGAAAATTACAGGTAATTATCTTTGACGGTAAAAACGCTGTAATCAGCGGGCTACATGAAAAATTACTCTAATTATGGCTGCATTTAAGAGAATGGAAAAAAACCTTCTTGTGGATAAAAACCTTAAATTGTCCCCAATGTCTGCTTGAAATTGGATGGCACTGCAGCTGGAGGCTTTGTTCAGAATTGATCCTGGGGAGCTCTGAACCCAAAGTTTCACAGTGGGAAGGGGAAAAAAAGAAAAGAAAACATTTTTCCTAATGTAACAATACGAATGGTAGAAAATGACAAGACTGATCGGTTTTAAACCACTCTGAAGACTGACTGAGCGTGGAAGTTGCACAAAAAAAAAACAAAAAAACACCCCCCAAAAAACTGGTATATTGGTAAGTAGTCTTTGCTTTGTGTCTAATTATAGTGACTGTCCTTTTGCACGACTGTATGTAGCTGTCATTATATGGAGCACTCTGAGGATCTCTATTGACTTCTGATAAATGGCTCAGTGGTTTCAAGGTTCATAATTTGAAGGATGCCCAGGTCTCTAGCCATTAATTCTCGCAGTATGGGGCACCCAGCTTGGATGAGGAAAGGGCTTTTCATTGTCAGTAGTTGCTGTGCTTTCCACAAACTGGTGCGGCTGGAGCTGGCTGGACAGCGTGTTGTGTGCCTGGGCACCTCTCAGGGCTTTGCAAAACATTCCTCGTCTTGCATTGTCTGCTCTTTAAAAACAAAGGAGAGCGCCTCCTTTCTTAATAATTTGGAGTCTCCAAGCTTTGGGAAGAAAGACAGGGCTCTAAGCTTTGCCTCTGCGAGAAAGCTCAGCTCAGCTGAGCAGCGGAGCAGTGAAATCGCAGTAGAAATGGCCGGATGATTAGGAACTTCTTCTAGGCGTATCTTTGTGGACTCGGTATCTCCTGTCTTTAAGTCGTAGCCTTAAAACCAACGAAACCACCAGCTACCCTTCCCCTCCCCCACTTCATCTTTTCTTTCTTTGCTCGCAGATTTATGCTTTGATAGGGGTCTCTGCGCACAGGCAAGCGGGGCACAGGGTCCCGCTGCCCGGGTTGAACTGGGGGGGGGGCAAGTCGGGGGAGGTGGGGATCCGCTAAGGTGGAAATATAAGCCAGGCGGGCATTTTGTGGCTTTTACTCTCTATATATGAAAGAAGACAAAAACATACAAAGTATATGTACAACTAAAATTCAACAATATATACAGAAAGGTTGCTCGGGGAAAGGTCCCTCTCGCTCAGTGGGTGAGGCTGCTGCCGGGCAGCCCTGAGCCTTCCTTCCCCAGCCCACGGCGGCGGGTCTAGCTGCGAATCCATCTCTCTGTCTTTCCTTCTCGTCTCCGGGAGTCTGTCCGGCTGTGTGTGGGTGCAGATCTGTGCGAATGAGGGGGCTCTTCACGTGAGAGACGGTGGTTTCTTCTGAGCCGCAGCCCATTGCATTTTGAGAAAGCATGCATGTTTTGCTTCATGGTAGTGTTCTAATCTTACAGTACATTTTCAGTTTTCAACCAGTTCTCCTTTTTTCCCGTTGGTTGTTTTTTTTTTTAAATCCCTTCTTCTCTCTTTAATCCTTTCCCCAGTCTGGATTTGGTGAATAAAAATGAAGGAGCTTTGACTAGTCTCTTTCATCATGTAATGTCTTTAGCTCATTAAACAAGTAAAAACGGCTGCCATGGTAGATTCAGGTTCTTGTGGGCAAAGTCTGTAAAAAGTTTGTTTTGACGTATACTCCACCGAGAAAGAGGCTGGTGCCTTGGAGTCCAAAGGAAAATATCCTAAAGAGAAGTGTCTTCTGTGCGCCAGAATGAAAATTGTGTCTTTCTGTTCAAGATCAATCGCTGAGGATACTTTAAAAAAAAAAAAAAAAAAAAAAAGCCACTCTGTCTCTTTGCCGCATCTACAAGTTCACACAGAGCCTGTTTGCTGGCATGGCTTGGCAAAGCAGGCGAACTTCTTGCCATGTCGAGACGAGGCGTTCTTGGGAGATTATTTCTCTTGGACAATTCACATCATTTGTGGTCTCTGCATTGTGTCTTGATGTGGAGAAGAATACCAGTGAGAATAGCCAGGCATGTAGCTGTTGGGAGGCATATTGACTCCCTTGGCAGAGGCTGAAACGTCCCAGACTGGAGGCAGAGCCGGAGAGCGAGGGGAGAGGGCAGCCGAGCCTGGCAGAGGGTCGCTCTCGTGGGGGTTACTGCCCTGCTTCAGCAGCTTCTTGAATTTGGAGCGCTTGTTCTGAAACCAGATCTTCACCTGTAAACCAAAACGCAGCAGATATTAGGCTGCCATCAGTGCCCAGGGCACAGCAGGGGAGACCCCGGGGGCCGTGGGTCTGCTCCAGAGAAGGTCTTGAGCGCACACGCCAGTCGGGTGTGGAGTTGGGGATGGGAAGGGAGGAAGGACGGGTAGCTACGGTTGCTCTTGGGCTCTGGATGCCGCTGGAGAGAACAGGGGAGGCAGACCAGAGCTGGAAAGCGAGAGGGATGCAAGTTTTAACCTGGAACGTTGTTTTCTTTGCGCAGGCCAGATTGTTCAAGCTGAAACAGACTACATATTCTGAGGTCTCCTGCTTTAGCACCTCATTCAGAATTTTGGAGGTCATTTGATCATTCGGGCAAACTGTTGTCAAACACACGCAATCATATGATTTTGTGCCAGGATACAGGAGCCAATAGACAAAGGGCATCTTACAAAGAAATCGTGCATCTGAAATCCACACGATCAGGTCAAGTGGTCCATGCTGCTGTGACGGGGGAGGAGGCAAAATGAAACCAGGATTGTGGCTTTATTTTAATATATATTTTTTACAGAAAGAATAATTTTATTTTCTAGTGAGTAATTGGGTATCAAGATTGCTTTGGGTCTCATCCTACTCCTAACCCAGCAGAACAGGAGCCTACACTCGATAAGATGTGCAAGGATTGGGCCCACTGGCAGATCAGAATTATTATAGAAATTATATATACCTATATAGACATATATACACAACATATTTTTTAAATCAATCAAACAAAGAAAACAAAATCCCCATGTGTATTTGACCTCGCAAACTTTGCAGACATAATGTTACGGGATAAGCAGGGGTGCTCCTCTACTAGTATGCTCAGGATCGGGCCACTGAAACAAATCTATGCGTGTGAGAGAGAAAGCGAGACAAAAGTGAGACAGAGTGTGCAAGCTAAGGATACTAAATTCTCATTTGCAAAACCATCAGGTCTATTCCCATCATTAATGTTTGCTGAGTATTTAAAAATCGCTGGCTGGAAGCAACTGTTACCAATGACAATGATAAAATCCTGAAGTTATTTGTTAAGCTCATAAATTCACATGATAACATTTTACCCGATTTGATCCCGTCTATCCATGCACTTCTCCACAAACCCCAGCCTGGGAAGCCTGTAATGCCTCACATGTCTTTCAAGTTTAAATTAGCAGAATGGCACAGCTATTCCAACCACACTTAACTATGGCTTAACCTGCCATAATTTTGTACACGGCTGTCTTTGATCCTCAGATCTATTATCACCTTCCGTACATTTTGCCCAAGGCTAACCACTGCATTTGCGTTAGTCATCCAAGGCGAATTAACTATTGATTTTACAGGTATTTCCTAACGCGTCCCTGCTTCCCCTCTACCTACATACGTTGCTACGAGGCAGCTTTGCTTTTAGCTCTACCTCAGGCCCAGAGATTCCTTGCCTTTGTTTTGTTCTCCTTTTCACAGCTGGGCAATTGTATCTCGGTGCTGGAATTATCCGAAAATACAGGCAATTTTAAAATGTTATGTGTGGCATCAAAAGGGAGCGCTTGCTCGCCAGACAGCTGAGGGAAAGGCGCTTTCAGCTCCTTCTGCGGTAGCCCAGTCTCTGTCGCGCATTGGGTAAGTCCTAGGACATAGAGATGGGGATCGTGTGCGTTACCTTTTCTACCGTTCCCGACAGAGGTTTAGGGAACATCATACTTTGCTTGGCCTTTATTGCTCGAGCAGGATTTCAGTCATTTGGGATTCCCAGTAATTACCTGTGTCTGGGTAAGTCCTAATGAAGCTGCCAGTTCAGCTCTCTCTGGAAGTGCCAGGTACTGAGTCTGCTGAAAGCGATGATTTAAAGCCTGGAGTTGTAGACTAGAGTAAATGGTCCGAGGCTTCCGAATCTTTTTCCCTTTTCCATTAAATCTGATTTCACCGTTTTCAATCACTGTGGTTTTTTGCTGATCTGCAAGCAAAACAACACAGCTGAAACATCACCCTCCTTAGCTATTAAACGCGGGTATTTTGGCTGCCACGGCTCCTAAAAACGCCGAAGCCTGTCCCGACGCATGTTCAACCCCATCGCGTACACACAAGCTCCGTCTCCTTAAAGGCACGCGCGGCGCAGGCTGCTGCTTGGCGACCGGGAGAAAAAACAGCTGTCCGGGCATAGTGGGCACTCTGCCTTGCCCCCGGGGAGCATAAAATAATAATATTTTTAAAAACTTAAAGCGCAGCGCCGGCTTTGCAAAGGGATGCCTTGTTCCAGGACCATCCAGGTTTTACTGAGCTAATTGACTTCGCGTCGCCAGTTTGGTGGTCAGTGAATCACCAGTCCGAGACTTTTAACAATGCTTTTCCCCTCCGCCCCCCCCGCCGTGCCCCTCCGGATGGATACGTACGGCTCCCTGAAAAAAAAAAAACCCAACAAAAAAAAACCCCAAAAACCCCCATAAATCAGACGGCCCCCGAGCGGAATGCGACCCGCTCGCCTGGAAACTTTCACTCCTCAGGTGTTAGCAGGAATTTTGCCTAAAGCCGGTCCCGCCGTAACAAAGGAGCGCCAGTCGCAGCCTCTCGCCGCCGGCCGGGCAAGGAAGGCGCCGGTGCGCTGCGCCGCGGTAGCGCCGGCAGCCGCCGCCAGCGCGGGGGAGCGCGGCGGCCCCGCCGCCAGTACCGCAGCAGTAGGCCCGCAGAGGGGCCGCGGAAACAAGCAATCCCACACCTTCTCTCCCCGCCTCCCGGCGCACCCCAGGGCCGGCGCTTGCCTCGGCGGGAGCGGGGGGCACGGCGGGGGTCGTTATGCAGGTGCCCGGGCCGGGGGTGCCGGGGAAAGGCCCAGGGATGGAGGGAGCGGGGCGAGGAAGTGGCAGCGGGTTGGGCAAGCGGTGCTGGCTCACCTGCATCGTCCGCCCGCGTCTGGCTGGCCGCGCTGCTGTTGTGGTAGGACTGGAGGTAAGGGCTGTGCTGCGAGTGGCTCACGTAAGGGTAGGCGGCCAGCGAGCGGTGGTTGTAGGAGCCGGCGCTGCCGGAGTAGGGCGAGCTGTGATGGTGATGCTGGTGGTGCGGGTGCGAGCCGGCGGCGGAGTGCAGGCAGTGCAGCGGGTAGTGGGCGCCGGCCATGGCCGGCGAGCTCTGCTGGGAGTGGGGCGGCGGCGGTGGCTGCGGCGGCGGCGGCTGCTGTTGCCCGAACTCCATGAAGGCGGATTTGGAGGAGTCTTGCGCGTCCAGCCCGTCAGCCATCGTAGTCATGGTCATCATCAAAGTTTGGGAGGGAGAGCGCGGCGCTCCCCGGCTCGCCCCCCGCGCTCTGCCTCCTCTCTGCCCAGCCACCGCCGCTCCCCTTACCCGCCGCGGCACCGCTGGAGAGGCGGCGGTGATTTAATTTAATTTCTTTTCTTTTTTTTTTTTTCTTTTCCGCCTTTTTTTTTTCCTTCCCCCCCTCCTCTCCAAGGAGCCGTTCTGCGAGGGGCCTCGTTCACTGAGGGAGGGGAGGAAGGGGAGGGCGGTGTGCGGGGTGTGTGAAGGGGGAGGGCGGGCTACTCCCGCCGCTTTTTTGCGCCGCTCTTTTCCTTCATCCCCCCGGCGCGTGGGGTGGGTGTTGTTTTTTGTGGGTTTCTTTTTTTTTCTTTTTATGGAAGGGGGGGCGTGGAGGGTGGGGGGAGTTGAAGGTGGGAGCCGGGAAAGTTGGGACTCCGGCGCTCCGACTTGAAGGGCAGGGACGCGCACAAGTCGAATGGTTCGTCTCCGGAGGGCAGCGCCTCCCTCATTGGTCACTCGGCCCCCTTACGTCATAGCCGGCAGCGCGCGCTGCCCGTGCCCGTCCCCCTTTCCCCCCCCTCCCGTTTTTCCCCACCCGCGCGGGTGTGGAAGAAACGCGCGCGGGTGGGGAAAAGGGGAGCGTCTGCCCTCATCCCCCCAAATCCCCCCTTCCCCCCAAATCAAACATTTCCCCACTACACGACCCCCTCCATCCACCCACGCGCGCCTCCTTGCGCGGTATTTTCGCTGCGGCGAAGAGACGCGCAGCGCATTTTCCCCCGCTGAACGCAGCAGCAGCAGCAGCTCCCGTAATGGCTTTCAAATATATGCAAATGGCTACGTGCGGTTGGCGGTTTTGGCAAAAAGCTTGATTAGGATATAAACGACCCAAGGAAAAAAAAAAAGTGCCTGCGCCCTAAATTTGTCTTTAGATTACAATTCCAGTTGATTTTATTTTATTGTCAACATTGTTAATGATAAAAATAGAGTCGTTTTACAGTTATTTTTACTTTCTGGAAGGAGGCAATTAGACTTCTAATCAGGAATACACAAAAATCTCCCATGATTAACTGCAGTACTTTGTTCAAATTGCTGCTATAAAATTCAGAACAATTTGCCTGTAATGATTATGGACTGGGTTTATTTTGGGAGGTGGAATAAAAGTGGATATAGCATAAATTATCCTCTAATTATACACCAGTGTCGCCTCAATTATCCTCTTATCAAAATGGTTGTCTAACTGCCGCATTTAGTTTCAATTCTCTCCTTTTTTCTATAAAAAGAACTTCATACCTTGTTATTATTAATCCATTTATTATTTGCAAGGGGATTTATATCTGAACATCCAGGTGGTATCACCACTTCTCTTTCAAAGATGGACTAGGGAAAGACATTAAGTTTGATCCAGCTCGGCGAAGGATCTCTCTCTCTCCTCTCTTCTCTCTCCCCCCTCTCTCTCTCTCACCCCCTCTCTCTTTTTTACCCCTTTGCCTCGCTTAAATCTCCTTGCGTCCAGCTAAGCATGAACTCCAGAGACAGACCCCACCGGAGAGGACTGAGGTAGGAAGGACCCTGCGGAACTCGCTAGGCATAGAGAAATCCGAAAGTTGCTCTAGATGGGGAAAGGGGCTGGAGTTTTCGGGCTTTAAAAGCCAACACCGGCACCAGCAGCCGCCGCTTCCAAAACCACGCACAGCCCAGAGACTTCCCCAGACCGATCCCAGGTCCTGACACTTGCCTCTCATTGGGACATTCCCCGAGGACTGGTTTTCAGATTTTGCATATATATATATATATATATATATATATATATATATATATATATATA